GACGGCGTGCGCTTCATCGCGGACCGCATGCGCAGCGAGGACGACGACCAGAGCGTGAGTGCGCGCGGGGCCTGGGGCGCGGGGCTGCGGCACCCGCAAGGCAGCCGCAGGGTAGAGACGCGCAAATCTGACTGGCCGGATGCGGGAAATGTGTCCGCTGGCGGCTGCGGGCCTGCGCGGTTGGCTTCAGGGAGGAGGCGCCTAAGCTGGAGCCCTACAGGGTGACCCTGTGGCTCCCTGAGGGCTAGCGTCCAGGGCCAAAATGCCCCATCTGGGGCATCATTAGTGTCAGGAGGGCGGCCAGGAAGGGGAGGTGGCCCTTCTGGGTTTGCATTTGGCCTGTGGCCGTGTCCCCGAGTTCCTGCCCACCGCTTGCATTCCCAAGTCCAAGTTGTTAATATTCAGCTCTTAGCACAAACGGAGACTGAGTCCTTTGTGTGCCCCACGGGGTGGGGGGTGGGGTGGGTAAAATTGAAGGCCGTAGGAGGAGTGGGGTGGGGTGTGGGGGGGTGTTAAGAGGTTCCAAGAGCCTGCTGGTGGAGAAGAGGACAGTCCCAAATCAATATACCGTTTCTGCTCTTCTGGGTCCAGGGGAATGGCCTCGTGAAATATTTATGGAGGTAGGGGCAAGTGGAGGCTAGGGCTTCCCAGACCCGCCCCCAGCTTTCAGCACAGCTGGCCTTTTCTAGGGCAGCTCCCCAGAAAGGGGACTCCCGTGGTTTCTGAATCTGAGACCCAAGTATGAAGAGTTGACGTGCCCCCCTTTGGGTTGTGGCTGGCCCTGCCCGGGGCTCAGTCTTTGGGTACCTGGCTAGTTCCAGGCAGCTGCTCAGCTGTTGCCATGGTGACTAGCGAGGTTTCTACTGGGTCGCTGCCATTCCAGTTTGAGGGTGAAGAAGCACCAGCTCCTGCACTGCTGTTTGGGGGGAGGAAAAGGGGGGCATCAGAGCCTGGCGTTTGAGCAGGTCTTGGTGAAGGAAGAGGTGTTGCCCAGGCTGGAGGCGATGGGGTGGAAGCCCCAGAGCCAGCAGAGGCCAAGTGGGGGATGCATGGGTAATAGCCAGGCGCAGGGACTGGGCCAGCTGCCCCCCTGCTGCAGTCTACTCATGTCATGTGCAGTTACTGAGCTGGGTGCTGAGGATGCAGTGACCTACTTGGATGCTTCACAGGCATCTCAAACTTACCATGTCCTAAATGGAGTGCTTGATCTACATTCCCACCCACTCCTCTTCTGATCTTTTAGTAAATGGCATCACCTTCCACCTGATGGTTCAGACTAAAAACCTGGAGTGATTCTCGACATCTCACTCTCTTACCTCCCCCACCATCCAAAGCATCAGAAGTCCTGACCTATGAGCACAATCTGCAACCTAATCCTTGGCTTCACCCTTTCTGCACCATCTGCATGCTACCCCCCCAGGCTGCGGGCCTCTGTCAGCTCTTGCCTGAATCAGGGCAGAGACTCCTAATGGTCTCCCTGAGTCAGCTCCTGTGCTCCTCCATCCAAACAGACAGTGTCTCCCCCTCACCTTGTGCCTTCTCCCCCTCACTCAGCTCACTGGCTTATCTGCTTGACTGTTTTAAGCAAGCTAAGCTCTTTCCTGCCTCAGGACTTTTGCACATATTGATCTCTCTGCCTGGAATGTCCTTTTTTCCTTTTAGAAATTATTATTATTATTAATTTTTGATATGCTGTTTGAGAGTAAGTTGTAGACATTGTGACTCTTTATCTCAAATGCTTCAGTGTCCCTCTCCTAAGAACAGGGACATTGCCGTGCATGACCCAGGTTCAGTGATCAAATTCAGGAAATTTTAGCATCAGTACAATATCTAAAGTTCATATTAAAAATTTTTTAATTTTCTCAGCGATGTTCTGTGTAGCATCATTCCCACCGCAATCCCTGATCTTGAATTGCATTTTATCTTCCTGCCTCTTTAGTTGTTTGCAATCTGGACCAGTTCCTCAGCTTTGTCTTTCATGGTATAAACATTTTTGAAGGGTGCAGGCTGGTTGAAGGTCCCTCAGTGTGGCTCTGCCTGATTGTTTCTTCAGTTTATTCNCCAAGAGCCTGCTGGTGGAGAAGAGGACAGTCCCAAATCAATATACCGTTTCTGCTCTTCTGGGTCCAGGGGAATGGCCTCGTGAAATATTTATGGAGGTAGGGGCAAGTGGAGGCTAGGGCTTCCCAGACCCGCCCCCAGCTTTCAGCACAGCTGGCCTTTTCTAGGGCAGCTCCCCAGAAAGGGGACTCCCGTGGTTTCTGAATCTGAGACCCAAGTATGAAGAGTTGACGTGCCCCCCTTTGGGTTGTGGCTGGCCCTGCCCGGGGCTCAGTCTTTGGGTACCTGGCTAGTTCCAGGCAGCTGCTCAGCTGTTGCCATGGTGACTAGCGAGGTTTCTACTGGGTCGCTGCCATTCCAGTTTGAGGGTGAAGAAGCACCAGCTCCTGCACTGCTGTTTGGGGGGAGGAAAAGGGGGGCATCAGAGCCTGGCGTTTGAGCAGGTCTTGGTGAAGGAAGAGGTGTTGCCCAGGCTGGAGGCGATGGGGTGGAAGCCCCAGAGCCAGCAGAGGCCAAGTGGGGGATGCATGGGTAATAGCCAGGCGCAGGGACTGGGCCAGCTGCCCCCCTGCTGCAGTCTACTCATGTCATGTGCAGTTACTGAGCTGGGTGCTGAGGATGCAGTGACCTACTTGGATGCTTCACAGGCATCTCAAACTTACCATGTCCTAAATGGAGTGCTTGATCTACATTCCCACCCACTCCTCTTCTGATCTTTTAGTAAATGGCATCACCTTCCACCTGATGGTTCAGACTAAAAACCTGGAGTGATTCTCGACATCTCACTCTCTTACCTCCCCCACCATCCAAAGCATCAGAAGTCCTGACCTATGAGCACAATCTGCAACCTAATCCTTGGCTTCACCCTTTCTGCACCATCTGCATGCTACCCCCCCAGGCTGCGGGCCTCTGTCAGCTCTTGCCTGAATCAGGGCAGAGACTCCTAATGGTCTCCCTGAGTCAGCTCCTGTGCTCCTCCATCCAAACAGACAGTGTCTCCCCCTCACCTTGTGCCTTCTCCCCCTCACTCAGCTCACTGGCTTATCTGCTTGACTGTTTTAAGCAAGCTAAGCTCTTTCCTGCCTCAGGACTTTTGCACATATTGATCTCTCTGCCTGGAATGTCCATTTTTCCTTTTAGAAATTATTATTATTATTAATTTTTGATATGCTGTTTGAGAGTAAGTTGTAGACATTGTGACTCTTTATCTCAAATGCTTCAGTGTCCCTCTCCTAAGAACAGGGACATTGCCGTGCATGACCCAGGTTCAGTGATCAAATTCAGGAAATTTTAGCATCAGTACAATATCTAAAGTTCATATTAAAAATTTTTTAATTTTCTCAGCGATGTTCTGTGTAGCATCATTCCCACCGCAATCCCTGATCTTGAATTGCATTTTATCTTCCTGCCTCTTTAGTTGTTTGCAATCTGGACCAGTTCCTCAGCTTTGTCTTTCATGGTATAAACATTTTTGAAGGGTGCAGGCTGGTTGAAGGTCCCTCAGTGTGGCTCTGCCTGATTGTTTCTTCAGTTTATTCCTGCCACGGCTGGCTCCTTCTCATTTATCAGCTCTTACCGTAAATGTCACTTCCTGAAAGAGGCTTTCCCAGACCACATCCTAAATTACATCATCCCCTCCATTTCTTTGTCAGTCCTTTGTTTCCTTGTAAGCACCCACCAGTGTCTAATTATTTTTTTTTAAAGATTTTTTATTGATTTTTTAGAGAGAGAGAGAAACATCCGTGTGAGAGTGTGGGCCGACCGCCTCCTGCACGCCCCCTACCAGGGGTCGAGCCCGTAACCCCGGTGTGTGCCCTGACTGTAATCGAACCAGCAACCTTGCCGCGCATGGGATGATGCCTGACCAACTGAGCCACACCGTTTTTCGTGGTGGGTTTTTTTTTTTTTTTTAAATCCTCAGCTGAGAGAAAGGGAAAGAGGGAGAGAAACATCAACCTGAAAGAGAAACATGGATAGGTTGCCTCTCTAACGCCCTGGCTGGGGAAGGGTCACTTGGAAAGGTCACTCTAGGATCATGGAGGGAGAGTAGTGATGTGTGTGTGTGTGTGTGTAAGTGTAAGGTGAGATCTGCTTATACCCATTCCACTCCTATCCTGCGTCATGTGACTAATATACTTGGGCACCGTTTGTCTCTGTCCAGGTGAGTGAAGACTGGAAGTATGTCGCCATGGTGATCGACCGCCTGTTCCTTTGGATCTTTGTCTTTGTCTGTGTCTTTGGCACCATCGGGATGTTCCTACAGCCTCTCTTCCAGAACTACACCACCGCCACCTTCCTCCATGCAGACCACCCGGCTCCCAGCTCCAAGTGAGGCCCCCCCGCAGCTCCATGCTCCTTCACCCCTTTGCCCTCTGCTGTACAATCGTTTTGGGTGGAGGAGGGTGAGCTACCAGGAGGAGGGGCGCTGCCCACAGAGACCCATCCTTTGCCATCACCTGGGCCCCTCCCCCCATGTCTCGGCCCACGCCCAGCCAGCTCCACCAGCCACTCTCCTTCTCTTGCTCCAACGCAGGCAATAGTGTTGCTGCCCAGGATGAAGGCCGAGAAACAGAGGACAGAGAGGTCAGAGACCAGCCTGAGGAGGACAGGATCTCCCACTGCCTTCAAGTCACGGGAAGGGGCATGGAGGAGGAGGGGGGAGGGACAGGGGCTCAACTCTGCTGGGCTGGCCAGACACAATGGCAGCTCCGAAGGCAGGAGCAAGGGGAGAGGCCTGGGTGTGACCTGACATTTAGCGCTGCCCCAGTGAATGGCAGCCTGGCTGGGTGGCCTCACAATGGGCACAGGTTCCTGCCCAGAGGGTTAGTCTGGTGGTCTGGTCGGACTCCTGGGGAAGCTTCCAGCCCAGTCCCACAGCCCCTTGCTCCTAAGGGGTCCGGAGCCCAGCCCCAGTTCCCCTTCTCCCAGTGAAGAATTCTGTGCACCCCCTGGACTTTCCTCTCCTTCCTTTCTCGCTGGGCCAGGGTGTAGTGGGCGGGCTGGGTTCTGGGGAGCCTCTGAGTTTTGAGTCTTTGCGTGACCTGCTTGGAGCCTGAGTTCTGAGTACACAAACTCTGTGAAAAGGGCAAGTCTACAGGCTGTTTTTTACCCCCAGTTGAACTGACTGGTCATCTGAAGTAAACGTAGGATCGTAGGATGCTAGCTGAAAGCAGACCCAGCCTTTTTGCCCGCTGCAGAGCCAGCTGCACGGAGAGAGCGGGCGGGGAAGGCAGCCAGCAGGGAGTGAGTGGCCACTTGGGCACAGCTCCTGCCCACCTTCTCTTCAGGGCTCTGTCCCTCCTGCTCCTGCCCCTCCTTTTCCCCCCTCCCACCCAAGGCTGCAATGGGGCAGGGCTGCTCCCCTGAAAGCATCCCATCCTATGAGTCCCTGGAGGCTGGATTTTGACGCTGCTCCCAGGGGACAGCTGGAGGCCACCTGGTCTGTTAGCCCGGAAACAGACCTCTTATGGGATCTTCTGTGCCTGTCCCTGCCACATGACTGGCTCTGATTTATCGCCCTAGCCTGTGCTCAGTGCTGGGCCAGCAGGTGGCCAGTCACAGAGGGGTCAGTCTGCCAAGTGCACTGAGGGGCCTGCCCCACACAGACCATGCTGTTCTCGAGCCCAGCTGGACTCCCACATCTCCAGGCACAGCGCAGGGTGGGGTGGGGTGCCAGTGGGTGAGAGGAGACAGATGGCATATGCACAGCACTGGACAGAGATCACATTCTTGATTCTAGTCCCAGCTCTGCCACTTACTCAACCATCTTGAGCAAGTCTCTACCTCGCTAGGACTCTGCTTCCTCATCTATGAAATGGGGACAGGGATGCCCTCTATGGGGTTGCTGTGAGGATGAAGTGATGTTTGTGAGAAAGCCGAGTGCTCTCGCTGGCACAGAGTAGATCTATTAATGTGGAGTCTGCGAGGCAGTCAGAGCCGGTGGGAATGGGGTCACCTGTCATGTCAGTCTCCCCCCAGACCCTCACCCTATATCATTCTTGAACAAACCAAGTCCCCCAGAACAGGGCCTGGATCTGGGGGAACTGAGAGCTGGAGGGAAAGCTCTGTGAGTCTAGTGGGTGGGTATCTCTCTCTGGAGCATCTTCATTCCATTCCTGGGTTGAAACTGGCCTTGGCCCTGACCTCCCATCTGGGTCAGTCTCTCCTGATGCAGGTGTGTGCTCAGGGCCCTCAAGTGGACCTAGCCCTGTCCTGGTGTTGTGTGAGATGTCCCCAGTGCTTTCACCCACCTGCCAGGACAGGCTCCTGGACATCTCTCTTAAGGAGGGTAGTGTCTTGGCTCCATAGAAACTCCCTTCTTCTAGAACAGCAAATTCAGAGTTGCCAGTGTTATGCCTGGACCCACCTCAAACTCATAACCCTAGGAAACATCCTGGAACCTAAAACAGCAACTGGAAGGATCTCCCCCTCTGAAGGGTTGGTGTCTCCCTCTGAAGGCTAGGGTGATCTCCTAGAGCCCACCCTGCCTGCTCTCCCAGGCTCCTGGCCCCATCAGCTGCTGCTGTTGGCTGTACTTGCTTTTAGTGCTCCCCAAAGTGACTGTTGTCCAAGTAAGTCAGCAGACTGTGCTAGGGGGACTTAGAGAGCAGCTGCTCTCCAAATCCTCTCCGTGACCCATCTGACACATAAGGAGACCGAGGCCTGGAGATTGTTTGCTGCCTGACCTTGTACAAGCACCTTACCCTGAATTTGCTCACCCTCATCTGTAAAATGGGGATGAGAGTGGCCTGGGGTCTGCAGCAAGGAAGCGAGGGACCGATGTACATGAAGAAGTTAACTGGGCAGGGTCCCTGGGGCAGTGCCATTCCCTCCACCTCTGGCAGCCCTTTGGGGACCATCCCGGTAGGGAGGGGAGGGCAGAGGTGGGCAGAGGAGGATGCCACTGCACCGCCCAGGACAGGCTTTGAACCCTCCAGGGCACTGGGAAGTTTTGCAGAGCCAGCCTCCTCCACCCTCGGGTCTCTGTCTTCTTCCCCGGTGGTGTCTGGGCAGGACCTTGCCCCTTCCTTGGTGGGGCTGTCTCTGGAGAGGATCGGGTACCCAGCTCGGCCCTGGGCAAGGACCGGAGGCCCCAGATCTGAAGAGGGAGGCAGAGACACTGGATTGCACCCTGAGCGAGGTGGGCTGGGAGGGGGGCAGTGAGGAAACAAGTTGGGATGGCCCCCATCAGAAATGACAGGACCACAGCGCTCTGATAGCCATGTTTGTCTGGAAAGAGGGCCTGTACGGACTCTGCTTTTGCCAGTTGGCATTGCAGCAGGAGAAAGGCAGTTTCCTGGTGGTGAGGGAGCTAATACTGGAGCAGCTGGTACCACGTTATTGAAAATTTAAAAGCAAACGAGACACGGGCAGCCCCCAGCTGGCATTTTCGGCAGAGCAAGGCTGTTTGTGGAGAAAAGGCAGTCGTTCCCCTTCAAGGAAATGGGGGATGCTGGGAGCTTTGACTCCCTTCCGTTTCCCCCCAATTCCAGTATCAGCTACTGGTTCCTAAGGGCCTGCTCTGTGCCATGTGCTTCAGAGGCACTGTCTTTATTCCTCACAACAGCCCTGCGGGGAAGGGGCCTGTTGACAGAAGAGGAAACCGGGCTCAGAGAGAGCAGGTGCCAGATGGTGAGCAGTGCTGGGCCTGAAACCTGACTCACGATCCCAGAGCCCACGTGCTCGCTGCAGCCTGGCAGGTAGAAGGCAAGTGAGGGGCACTCAGGGTCTTTTCTGAATTCATTCCCCAAGCTGGAGTGGACCCGGTTCCAGCTGTCACCCTCTGCTTCTAGGCAGTAGGGCTGGTGTCACAGTAGCCCTCACAGCCCAGCTGGTGCCCGCCAGCCTCCCACTCGCCCACCCAGACTAGACAGGACAAGCAGCCACCTTTTGATATTCATCCCAACAGGTCCAAGAGGTCAGTGTGACAGTCACATGGTTCCTAAGGGACTATAGGTCTAAGAATGGTTAGGACACCTCACTCACCTGCCCTTGGTGCCCCATCTCCCCAACACTGGCTTTGGTTGGACTCCCTTGTCTGTGTTATGGAATATTTGCACTGGTCTAGCCCACTCCTGGCCAGACTCACTAGGAACTCAAGGTTCTTGTAAAGACAAGTTATTTCCAAAGACGTCTTGTCTGTTATATTGGGGGTAGGGAGGACCCTCATGGGCCAGGGTTGGCAAATGTGGGAAAAACAGAATGCTGGAAAAACCATACTCATGAGGTTGAAGACATCAGAAGAACCTCAAGAAAAGGTCAGTGGTAAGATTTCAATTGCTGTGATTTGTTGCTTTACAAGTCCACTCATTAGATGGAAATGAAATGACCAAATGGCTGGGCCTGTAGCAGACAGAGCCCAGAAATAGCTCCTGGGGAGGACCCTGGAGGACAGGGCAGAGGTGAGGACCAGTCTCCTGGAGGCAGGGGTGGCTGGGGCCCCCTCTCACAGCCCCTGCGCTCTGGGAAGTCAAGGGCTGTAGTCTGAGTGGAGGCCAGACCTGCTCCCAAAACACTGGTTTGATCTGGGCCCAAATCTTGAAAATGGTGTTAAATTGTGGGCCCATAGATGAAATGCAGGGTGAACAGCAATGGAAGAAAACCGTGCGGTCCCTCGAGGCAGTCTACTTTCCAGCTCAATCAGAGGTGGGTGGGAGGACAGCCTCGTTCCCTCTGCAGACACGTCCGACACTAGCCTTAGGTATGAAGGAAACTGCCCACTTTCCCAAAGCCCTGGATACATTTTCCTCCAGGTGGAACCAGGAGCTGAGGAGAGGACAGAGGTGCTCCAGGTTCCTGGTACATCATGGCAGCAGACACATTGTCCTTCCCTGTCTATAAGAACTGTCCAGCTCACCCAGTTTCAACAGACTGAAGGAACCCAGAGTTATTCTGGTCCTTAATGTGCCCCCAAACCTGCCACTAGCCCTCCTGGCTCAACTCCTGCATCTGTAGAATGGACAAGGAAGCTTTGCTGACTCATAGCCTCGCCTTTGTGTCCTCTGGTGTATCATTTTTAAAAGGTCAAGGATGAGTCTTGTGGATACTCTGGACTAAATTACAATGTGGAAAGTTGTGCATTCTCTTTGAAATTCAAGACGAAGAAATATTCTGGATGCCATCTATGAAGTAAGAAGCAAATGGCCTGTCTCCTAAGAAGGCAGCTGAGCCAGTCCTGGTTCAGACTCTGCAACTTTATTCCAAATATGCACATCCCTGCAGGCAAAACACCTTGCAGGTGGTGGTGTGTGTGTATGTGTGTGGTGGTGGTGCGGGCTGTAAAAATCAACCCTCAAGGAGAGGTGGAATTCTGGAGATAATTTGTGGTAGTCTCATGAGATATTTTCCTACCCTGGGTCTTGAAATCTCACCTGTCAAGTCTCTGGGAACAAGACATTTAAGGGCAGGCTCTGATGGGGGGTGGGCCTGATATACCTCACCCTCCCCACCCCAGGCACAAGCTCACCTCCCAGGTAGGCACAGGTGGGGGGGTGGCCCTCCCCTCCAGTGTCAGATGCAGCTGCTGCTGCTGCCGGAAATCCCTCTGTCCCTACTTTCCCCTCCCCCAAGAAACCAAGACTTGAAGCTTTCTACCAATTCAGATTCTTTTTTTTATTATTTTTTATTTCTTAAGGAATGTGTAATTTTAATTATTAAGCGACACTGAAAAGCAGAATCAAAAACTGCAGCCATCGTCGCACCCAAGTCCATGCTTGGGCTCTTCCCCACTCTGCTCTTGGAGTCATTGCTAAGACCCCAAAAACCAACGAGGTCCCTTCGAAGTGGGTAAAGGAGATAGCTTCAAGCAGTGACAATTTTTACAAGTATTAGTCAAAGAATGCACAATAGCCACAGTTCAGACAAATCAACTACAAAGATCATTAAAAAAAAGGGGGGATGTAGAAGGGGGTCCTGCTTATTAAAAACAAAGGTTGGACAAGAAGGTGAGAATACTCTAGGCAGGGGCTCTGCGTCCTCTGTCCTGTGTGACTGGGAGGAGCATGGGGGGTGTGGCCGTGCAGGGCCGGACACAGGCTCGTTTCCAGCAGACACACGGGGTTCAGGGGTGCCTTGCTCTCTTCCTACAGCAGGAACCAAACACTGCAAGGTTGCTAGACGAGACCCTGGGGTGAGCGGGGGCTCTGGTCTTTGGAGAGCCCCGTGCTCCTGGTTAAAGAGCTAAGTCAGAGATCTGCAGGAGGTTCCCGTGCCCCAGACGGACCAGAGGGGCGAAGGTTCTGAGGAACCAGTGGGTGACGCCCTCCAGCCTGAAGAACCAGGAGATCAGCTGCCTCTGAGGCAGGTCTGACTAATGTGCCTTCAGCAGGTTCACAGGGTCGGGGGCAGGCTAGTCCCTCTGCTCCAGAGGACAGGCACTGTTTCCCTACCAGTTCCTTGGGACACTTCGTTGTTCCACAGGAATGTCCTTAGTGTATTGATGAAACCTGGGTTTCCGCATGTGGTTAAGTTTGGGGAATAGTATCCACAGAGTAAAAGTGTGAATGTGGGTGTGTCTGTTGAAGAGGCAGGACAGATGGGAGTTAACTAGTCAGTAGTGTGGGGGCTGGGGAAGGGCAGAAAGTCATTTGAGGGTGCTGGCTCAGCATGTTCACAGAAAAGATAGAGGAATCCTCTAGAGTAAAGAGGCTGGCTCAGGGCTCGAGGGGGCAGGGCCTCCGTGCTGCTCTGGAGCACGTCTGACTATGGCCCAGAGCCAAACTCCAGCGAGAGGCTGATGGCTCTGACCCCGAGCGTCTTAGCTTGAGGTGTAGACTGAGGGCTCCACCTCATAGAATTTGGGGGGACAATTTGCCCTTTCATCTACAACTGCTGTCATATGTCAACCCTACAGAGATTCCCTAAGAGGGGATCTCCCTAGCAGGGAGGTCTCAGCTCTGTGACCTGCCCACAAATGACCTTCTGAAGCTGTCTGGCAAAACAAAAGCTCTTGGGTAAATGAAAAATTATGTCTGAATTTAAATCTGTGCAATTACAGATTCTATAGCACTTAAGACTCAACTTCTATGGCATTCATTCTTTTAAATGCTCCTAATTTGCCCATGGCTTAACTTCCCTCTGTGTCACTGTCATGGGAAATATGATGGGTGGAAGAGTGATCTGACCCAGCATCACTTTTTGCCTGATTCCTGCTAAGTGCTGTTTATCTAAGCAGAGGTGGTTTGCCCTCTAGGCCCCAACCCCCACTGATAGGACAAATTCCTAGGAATGCTTTAGGAGGAGGGGCAGCTGGGAGCTGGGCCACACTCCAAGGCCCCCTCTGTGCTCACTGGGAAATGGTCTGTGTCACCCCTGGAGGGGGCACCTCAGCTGCAATTCCCACAGCCAGTCTGGCTGGTGGTCACCTTCCCTGTCACCAGGGGATGGGATGCACTTCAGAGTGGCAGCTTTCCCTGCCACGTGGCCCCTCCCGAGCTGGCTAAAGTGCAAGATCTGAAGATCACTGAGTATCATCTGCAGATTCCAACCCCACTTGGCACCAGTAATTAACTGCAGTTTCAAACTCCTGCCTGTAGACATGTCTCACAAATTCTTTGCGTTCACCTCTTTACCCTCTTGGAGGAAAAGGAGAAACCTGATCACAGGAAGGGATCTCAGAAGGGGAGGGAAGCAGGGGCTTGTAGAACCCACAAATGAAATCATCAGTCCCTGGCATGACTCACAGAGTTGACTGGAACCTAATCAAGACCACAAGAGGTCAGGGGAGCAAACAGAGGGAAAGGAAATGGAAAAACCCAGAGAACTAAAGAGGAAATGGGCTGCGTGTACGCAGTCACTGCGTACGTGTTGGGTGGAGAAGAGAGAACCCATTTTCTCTCCCTTCCACCTCCTCGCTTGGGAAAAGAGAAGGGGGCCTAGTGACACCTGGCCTGGCATTTCCAAAGGAAGCAGGGTGGACAGGGACCCAAAGGTCTCAGCATCACCAACTGGTTCTGTTACAAAGAAAGGAAGAGAGGAGGGAAAAAAACCCCCAGACCCTTTGAACGGTGTGATGAGGAATGCTACGACCTACCCCTTTCTCACCCCAGAGTGAAACATCCCCAGCCGAACAGTCACTGGATCACACTATACTGGGCAGAGGTAAAAATTCTTTTCCTCCTGAGGTTTGCTTATCCAGTTCCCATAGCCCATGTCCTTCAGGCTTTTTTTGAAGTAGTTCTTGGCTATCTCGTATTCACGGGCAGCTTTCTTGGCCTCACCATAGGAGAGTTTAAGTAGATCCCTGCGGCACCGGAAGGAGCAGAGCTTCTTAAATAGAAGAAAAATATTCTTTTTGGAGACCCGGGACAATTCATTCCGTGGCCTGGAGAAACAAAAGCACTCCTTAAATCACCAAGGACCAGGAAAGAGGGGACCCTTGGGTGGAGGCACCATGGCAGGGTGGGTGGCTCCTAAGATCTGGAGATGGGCAAACATGATGTCCCTGTGAGTCATGATGGGGCTCCCCTGCTCCTTACCCGTCCACGGTGCCCCTGGTCCCATCCAGGATCTCCAGGTCATAGCCGTCAGCCAAACACCAGTTGACGCTTGTCTCCTTAGTCTTCCCGGACTGCCTTTTGGAATCATATACGCTGACTCGGCCAACCTAGGAGTCCCAGGAGCACCGGGAGAAAATGGAAACCTCTCAGGAAAAAGGCTCTGAAGCAGAGATCCAAGACTATCACAGGGAAAAGGGAGTGGGGGCTCATGACCTCTCCCCCTTATGTGGGATTCTATTTGGCTAAAACTCTAGGCATACTAACCCCACTTTGATTGAAATTAATTCCAGACTAAAAGGAGGAAAGCTATTGGCATTCCAAAGGAGAAAAGGCTAAGTGCTTGGGGTACCAACTAAGGCTCCCCTTGGCCACAGTGTTCTTTTGCTCTGTGAACAGGTTTCTTGAAAAGCAGAAAAACGCCAAGGGAAAAATGGATGTGGTTATAGCACCTTGGGGTGGTTGACAATAAAGGGATGCCGTAGTCCATCCGCAAATGCACTCCCATCTCTTGTCACACGACAGCAAATGGCACGTGTCAGATGCCCTTGGCTGAAAAGGTAACCTGGATATGAAAGAAAAAAAAAAGTACACACTTGTGTTCCCACCACATGCTGTTAAGAGGCAGAGGCATGTGGGTGGGAGGGGGTGTCCAAAGGTACCAAACAGAGTTGTCAAGACAGAGAAATAGCTCCCTTGTTAGGAAGCACCTTCTGATTGCGGCTATCTGGGATATACGTGGCCTCACCCAACATTCAAGCAGAATGTATAAGGCTCCAGGTAAGGCTAAGGGCCGTGGAGGCCAAGTGAAGACACCGCTGTTTTAAGCTGCTGCATTGCTGTAAGGCATCTTGAAGAGACCTGCCTGTCATGTCCCTTACTTGGGCTCGCTGCCTAAACCAATCTTCCCATCATGACAGACTGGATGCTCAGGATCAATTTCTGACGGAATCAAACACACTCTGAAAAGCGGAGACATGGTGCTAACACCTGGCAATGAAGTGTGCAGTTTGCTGAGATCTGGGCACTAGAATGACAGACTGGTTCCGGCTCCCGATAGGTCCCTTACCCAGTGTGACAGATTTGAGGTACACGGGCTGCAGGAAGTGGGTCAACAGTGCCCCTTGCAGGCCGAGCACGTTCCAGCGGAGGATTTTGTCACTACAGGACATGGTACGGAGTCTCTCCCCGAGCCGAATGCCGTCCCACGTAGGCACAATGTCACTGGACTCCACGGGGATTGTGCCTTCCCCTGTGTGAGAGACTTGGGTGAGACCCACAGGGCCCTGGGCCAAAGCACTCCCTGGCTTTGTGGTGCTTACACCTTAGACTTGGACCATCGGCTACTCACTCTGATCTTCAGACATTTCACAGCACCTACTATGTGCTGGGAAATCATGGTGAGCAAAACCAAATAAGATCCTTATTCCCCTAGAACATTTACGAAGGCGTGAGGATAGAAAGGGAGCTGGGCAGGCACCATAAACCAACACATACGCACGTTCTAAGTGGTAACAGTGCTCTGAAGGCATTGGGGGACAGCCGGGGACAGTAGGGGATGGAACTGTTGGGGGAACTGAGACATGAAGGAGAAGGAACAGCTGAGTAAGGGCACCCCGGACACAGGACAGCGAAAGCAGGACTGTGAGGCAGCGGGGGTCCTGCTGTTCAGGGAACGGACCGAAGCGCGTGAGGATGCAGGGTTTGTTTTCATGTGACATGTAGTGGGAAACAGCTATAGGGTGGTGGTTTGTTTTTTTTCAAATAAGAGGTTTATTGAGAGATAATTCACCCATTTAAAGCGTACAATTCAATGATTTTTTAAAAATTATATTCATAGAGTTGTGCAACCATCACCCCAATCAACTTTAAAGCATTTCAACACCCCCAAAAGAAACTTCCTGCTGTTGGTAGCCATGCCCCATTTCTGCCAACCCCTCCTACCCCTAGACAACCACCAATTTACTTTCTGTTTCTACGGATTTACCTATTCTGGACATTTCATGTAATTGGAGTTGTATCATATGTGATATTTTGTGTCTGGTTTCCTTTACTTCTTATAACGTTTTCGAGGTCCACCCATGTTGTAGCTCGTATCGGTACCTCATTCCTTTTCATGGCCAAATAATATTCCATTGTATGGCTATATCTCATTTTGTTTATCTATTTATCAGTTGATGGACACTTGGGCTGTTTCCATTTTTTGCTATTATAAAGAATGCCACTATGAACTTTTATGTACCACTTTTTGTGTGGACATGGGTTTTCATTTCTCTTGGAGAGAAAGACCTAAGAGTAACTCTGTGTTCACACTTTAGGGTTTTGAGCAGGGAAGTGACATGATCTGATTCATGTCTGAGGGTCACTCTGATGACTGTAGAACGGCCTGAAGGGAATAGGAGTGGTCATAAGGAGACAGTCAAAGACATCAGAGGCCAGTGGAGGAGAAGGAGCTGGCAGACAAAGTGTAGAACCCGTAGCCAACCAAGGGGAACCAGGCACTTGGCATCCTGTCACCTCCGCAGGGCTGGTTCTCCATGACTTTTCATTTTCTCCACCCTCCCCTGAGGTGATGCTATCCATTTTCATGGCTGTGAAGATTAACTATAGAAGGATGACTCCCAAATTGTTATTTCCGGCCAGGCTCTCTCCTCTGAGCTCTAGATGGTTACCTCTGCCTCCTATTTGATCTTGATCTTGATCTTTCTATAGACATTCCCTGCCCCGGACAGTCCTTCTCCCTGCAAACAAGACCTTGTACCCCAGCAACTAATGGCAAAACCCTGGCAGCTGTGCCCTTGTCCCCATGAGGAGTCTGGGCTTTGCAGAGCCCTGTGTGAGGGAAGGAGGCCGTGTCACTCACCGTTCTCGACCTTGGTGCGGAGCTTGCCTTGTTTGGGGTTCTCAAAGACGGGATAGTGGCGGGAGTCCGTGCTCTCCACGGCACGGTCGCTGCAGGACTTGTCAAAGAGCGCGCCATCCCCACACGGGGCCGTGCTGCAGAACAGGGGCGTCGGTTAACACTCTCCCGTGCAGATGCTTCACTTCCATTTGCTGGGCTCAGGGACTGTCCCATGTGGGAGCAAGGGACTTCTTCTGAAGCCTGTCATGGGTGACTGGGGTGGGCAGAAGTGTCTGTGGGAGTCATCCCACGTACGTACAGAGCTGAGTGGGGCCCACTGAATCGGCTCTGATTGATGGACTAGGAGAGCATTCAGACACCCAACCCTGGAAGCCTGGCAGGGCCAGCTCAGGTGGCGACAGACAGTACAGACCTGATGTAGAGATGGAATGACACGGTCTTCTTTATTTGGAGCTTTTCCCCTCCCTTAGCAGGCTCAAATATACTGTCCTTCGCAGTCCTGGGGTTGTACTTCATTAACTCGCTGTACAGAAACCTACAAGAAGAAAGTCTGGTTAAGACAGTTTGATTCCGGGAAGAGCAGCTGCTTCTGTAATCTGACCTCAAGTAAGGAAAAGCCTTAGTGCTGCAGACCTTGCCCTGGTTCTCAGGTTGAAAGAGGTGCTGGAAAACCATGGGGGACCCTCAGCATTTCTTAAAAGTCAAGTTAGCCTTTCAGGTCAGTTCCATTTCTGCCAAGAACTCCCTGCTCCGGCAGGTACAGGGGTTCTAGGGCAGAGCAAATGGATTCACGGACTACAGGGGGCTGTGGCTTCTCCCTGGGTCTCTGCATCGATGAAAGGAAAGGTGAACTGGAGGAGAAAGCTGGCAGGCCAAGGGGCTGTTTAAAGATCCTCAAGTGCAGCTGGAAGCCTTCCTCATCTCTGAAGTCCCAAGGACCAAGAGGTCACTTTGTGCTTTTTTAAAAAGGCACGAAGCAGAGTTATCTGAGAAAGGGAGAGCACTTAACAGCAGGCCGAGAAGTGGGTGTAGCCTGGGTCACAGATTCAAACAGCTGATGCTGTGGCCAGTGACCTGGGGCGGGCGGTGGAGGTGGCTGTCACCCGGAAGATCTTGCTCACCTGATGAAGCCTCTGCGGGAGATGATCTCTGCGTGGCAGTCATTGACGGTTTCTCCCTTTAGGCTCAGGGAGTCTCCTTTCACACAGCGATTCCCTGGAAAGGCATTGAAAGTAAATGTGACATTTCCAAAGGAAAGTGATGACGAAGAGGGTAGAGGCTGTTTGCTCTTAAGGCTGGAGGACAGAAACAGTTTCAATTGATCAGATCCTGACTCCCATACTCTTCCCTAGGGAATGAGAATTCACTCCCCACTCTGAATTAACTGTAGCTAAATTGAAACATAAGAAGGGTCTTTTTTCCCATCTTAAACTCGCCCCCATGGGACTCCAGGAGAGAATGACAGGGACATGTTTCCAGGCACCTTGGTGGGTGGACAGTGGGGGAGATGCTGCAGAGCCTCACTAACCTGTCCCCAAGCTGACCACGACTCCCAGGTCCTCAGAGTCTTTCTTCATGATGATAGCAGCCAGGATCTTGCGGCCCAGCAAGGAGGGCTGGAAACTGTTGGTCAGAGTGTTGAAGCACCGGTGGCTCAGCATAGCTATCTGGTCATGGAAGGTGCTGCCAGTGAGAGGGAGCTGTGGGGACAGGAGGCCGTGTCAGAGCCACAGAGCCCGGGCTGCGGCTGCCATGTCCCGGAGTGGGCGGGGAGATTGCGTTCACTCAACTGTGAACCGTCCTTTCCCCTCTCACACCTCGTGTCCCAGTTCCATGTTCTATGAGGCTAACATTAAAGCCCAGGAATAATTCACAGAATAGCAACTTAAACGCTAACTCCATGCAGAAAGGAGCTAGCTGGACCCCCCAAAAAGATAGCACAAAAGTAGACGTCTTAACTGTCTTTGGCTGTGCTTCTGGGGACCTTGAGAGGAGGAGCATAGTTCTTCTGAGACTGGCCCCTGTCACTGGGGTTACCTCTGTGAAACCCATGCGCTCTGCCTTCTCGTTCTCCCCAATCAGGACGCGGAGGGCGGCGTCCGCTGCCTCCTGCTTGCCTTGCTTCTTGCTGTGCGCGCAGACGGCTGGGAACCAGCGACCCCCAACTTTTGCTTGGTAAACAAACCTTTGGGATGAGAAACAGGGGATGAAGACAGGCACCTGTACTTGATGGCAGTCGCAGGAAAGGGCAAGTTGTGCTTAAGATGCCGCCAGTCCTGCCAACATAAGGCCCCATCGCCCTCCCAGCTCTCTTCCTAAGGCAGCACTGCCCAGACTTCGGATTTCATGGATTGCAATGTGATTTTTGCTAGATTCAGGCATCACCTAGGCTATTACTCACGTCTTGACTGTAAAGGCTTTTTGCTACTCCAAAATTCTAAAAAAAATAAAAATTAAAAAAATCCCTACTTTTTAATCTAGTGATTTTATGATTTTATTTACTTTGTATTTTAATTCTGGACCCAGTGGAATTTGGGTGTAGGGAAGGAGAGACATCCCAGCTGCTTTTCTTTTTAGATGGATAATCAGCAGCTTCAGCACCATTACCGAATGACCCATCAGTTCCCCACCGAGTTGAACTCTCATCTTTATCATGTATGAAATTCCCATTTAGGTGCTTCATTCTGTTCCACTGACCCCCCTTCTAGCCACATGCCAATACAACACTATTTTAACATCTGCTAGGGCCAGCTGCTTTATAACTCTTCCAGAATTTTCCTATCCTTGTATGTTCATTTGTCATATGAACTTTAGAATCAAGTTTTCTAGTTCTAAAATAAATAAATAAATCCTATTGCTGTTTTTATTGAGATCACATTAAAGGTAACAATTAATCTGGGAACAAAGGCTATCATTAAATTAGTCTATGTTTTTTTCCCCCAATGTAATCTGTCTTCCTTTATATTCTATAGCAGTATTTTTACTTAAGGCAGAGTCCACATACTTCCTATTAGAGATGTGCCCAGGTCGCTGATTTTTTTTAGTTGCTGTTGCAAATAGTGTATTTTTGGCTACGTTTTCTAATTGCTTATTGCTGTATACAGAACAGGTCTTCATTCTTATGTATTATTTTGTAATCCCCCGCTCTCCTAAATTCTCCCTTGTCTCTAATATTTCTTTAGTTTTCTCATGAATATTCCAGGCGTACAATCATATCATCTGCAATCATATCATCTACATCCCCTTTCCTTTCTTTATACTTATTTTTCTCTAATAATTGCATTAGCTAGTAATTCTAGAATAACATTAAGTAACGATGACACTGGCATCCACATATTCCTCCTGACTTTGGTGGGAACGGTTCCAGGTTCAACATTAAATAAGCTTCTGGCTTTTGACTTCAGACATGTATTTTATTATGCTAAAGAGGCATTCAATAATTTCTATTTTATGAATAGATTATTTTTTAAATCTAAATAAATGTTGAATATTATTAAATGCCTTTTTGAAATCTCTAGAGATGATCATGTGTTCTCCTTTGATCTATTAATATGGCAAATTATAATAATAAATATCTGAATGTAGAATAATCTTTGCACTGTACTGACATGCCATTTTTCACATTTTAGAATGGCAAAGATAAAAATGTTGATAATACCACATTGGTCATGGTATAGGGGAAAAGCCATTCTTATATATGGGGTGGGGGTGAGAGCTAGGCCAAAGGGAGAATGGGTCAGAATGAACTTTTTATATTGTATATTTTTGAATAATTTTATGTTGGATAGTCCATTACCTATTAAAAAAAAAACAACTTAAAAAAAAAAAGTGCATGACCCACGGTCCAGAAATCCTACTCCTGAAAATGTATACTGCAGACATGTTTGCGCACGTAAGCAGACATTCAGTACAAGGACAGTTACTGCAGCAGTGTTTGAAGAGTAAGACCAAGGCCAACCCACATGTCACTGGAAGCTGGTTAAATAAATCATATAAGGGCAGTTGCTTTAACATAGCAATATTCTCCTTCTCAAACTAGGGGGACTATGTGGGTATCTGTTTTACAAAAGACCTTTCATATCTCTGGTTTAATAACAGCGTCTATTCAGTGAGACATGTAGCTGTGCAGGAGTCTGAAAGACCCATACATGCTGGTTTGTAATGATCTCTAAGATACACTGGTAAGTGAGGAGTCAAGGCATGGCACGGAAGAGATGTTATACATTTATTTTGTTGAAAACAAAAAGGAAAATGTGCTAATATATGCATGGAAATTTCTAGAAGGACTCAAGAAACTGGTAATAGTGTATGGGGGGTTCTGGGGAGGGAAACAAGATGTCTGAGATAGAAATGAGACATTTTGTTTCATACTTTTTGAATCAGCTTGAATGATTTTCTTTAAAATTAAAATTAGTTAAAAAAATTAAAAAGGATCATACTTATTGGAAAAGTAACTATATTCTCAAGATGGCTCGTCTTCTAGGGAGTCATAGAGACACAGCTGTTTCCTTCAACTTGCCCCTCCTGCCCTGTCACTCACAGCTAATGCACATCCTTTCTCTCCTGGGTTATAGGCTGTCCCCAAGCTGTGACACATGGCTGTAGTCAGGCCAGGAACACTCACTTGGGCTCGTGAGGAGGTCCGGACTGGTCAACCAGCTTGAACTCGGCAGCGAAGCCGTGGGAGCGGGCATACTCCAACAGGCCGCCCACGGGGTTGGTGTTCAGGTATCTGACGAGCTCGCCGATCCTCCTCACCTTGTTGGGCATTATAGATTCCAAGTTATCAAATGACTCTGTGTTGGTGCTTCCGGGCTGAAGGAGAATTAGCCAAACCAAGAGGAACCGTAAACACTTAAGGAAACTCTGAGGGCCTCACCGGCAATCCTAAGCCACCCTGTTGCTAAAAATGACCTGTGTCTTTTGAGTAGGAAATTCCTGCACCTGGTTATCAGACGTCGAGTTGGTCGCCTCCTCATGCAGGGCCTTCATGGCTTCCTCCGCAGCCATCTGCTTTGCCACTTTCTTGCTGGGCGCACTTGCAGTGGGGAAAGTATGGCTTCCCATTGCAACACAGTACTGAAACCTGGAAGGAGACGAAAGGAGAATTACAATGGTTTTGACGGTGAAGAGGCTTACCTAGCCTTTGCCAGGCTGTCAGCCTGCAGACTGCAGTTTCCTTGCACACCGCCTCTGTGCCTTGGCTCATGCAGCCACTTCTGCCTTGAAGAGCTGGTGCCTTTCTCCCTCCTCCTGCCCCCTGTCTCTCTTCGCCTGGCCGACCCCTACTCAACAGTTAAGCATCAACCTAGTTTCACCTCCTCCAGGAACCCTTCTCTTGAACATGTAAGTCTGCAGAGCCTCAGAGCAGAGCTTGTCAGTACGCCCAGGTCTTGCACCGTTTGGTCCCACCACCAGTAACCTCCAAGCCATGTATCTCCCTAGTGCTTGGACCCTGCTTTGCCCTTTGAATTCCTAGTCCCAGATTCTCTGCTCCACAAGCAGCAACCATGCCCTCAAGGCCCCCCATCTTCCATAGTGAAAACAGGAGTGATTGCTCCGTGAAATAATCTGCCATCTCTGAGGAGGCAAGGAGGAACTGTATCTCTCTCTTTTTTGAGAAAACCTCAGCAGAGATACATGATACAAGAGATGTACTTGGGGTCATGGGCAGGGCCTTCTCTGGATAGGAGGCGGAATTCACAGGAGCTCCCCAACTTGTGCACACACTCAAGCAATGTAGTGACCGGGTTCTTCCCAGAAAAGAAGGAAGTTGCTGAAGGGGTGGTGGACTGGGACTCTGCTGTCTGCAGAAAATGAGAGACAAGGAAAACACACACACAAAAACAGTAAGAAAACATTGGCTAGTTCATCACAGCAGAGGGGAAGGGAGTGGGAGAATTTCTCTTAGTCAACTACATGTTAAGGGCTGGCTTTCCAAAGGAAGAGGGCTGTGGGAATTTTCTAAGCATTACAGGAAAAAGTTATTTAAATGTTCTGGGTCTCTTTTCTTATCTGCCAAGAGAGGAGATTGGACTTGATAATCTTTAATGTCTCTTTCAACTCTGAAATCTATAATTCTACTTGGTGGGGGGCAGAAGGAGAGCTGGGTATGAGGAAGTAAGGTGGGTGGTGAGGGAGTGGGGTAGAGGGAACAGTAGGCAGCTGACTGCGATACAGAATCAGTTTTAGGCAGAGATTGCTTCTAGGGCCCGTTCAAGTCCTGATCCTTCATTGACATGGAAAGTAACTGATACCCTCCCACAGGGCCGGACACCTACCTTCTCGGATTCCTTCTCTAGGGAACCGTAGTATGACTCTTCTGGTCTTCCACTGTCCTTGGCTTTAGCTTCCTCAAGCAGAATTGTCATGGCCTTCATAGCTGCATCCTGCTTGGCCACTTTCTTGCTGCCAGCTTCAGCTGGGGGAAACTCTCGGCCATTGATGACAACTTGGAATTTAAATCTTGATGGAAAGTGATTAGATGTGTGAACACTAGTCTAGGCCTCCCTTCTGCCCTCTCCAAAGAGATCTTCACCCTGGAATTCCTGCTACACTAAGGGGCGTTTTGACTTGTAGAGGAAATGGAGGGGGCGTTTTGACTTGTGGAGGAAATGGAGGGTAGGCCAAGGGACTCCTGTCCCTTTGAAGGCTCAGCCTGTCCCTACTTTTTGGAAACAAGGCAGCCAGTGACTCTCTCCCCATAGCTCATTAGAGCAAACACAGCCACAGGTGATATGAAACTAGCTCTGGGGAAACCCACTATCTCTCAGCAAAGAATTGAGGTAAGGTTGGTATAAAAATGATGCGCTAAAATCACGATTACAGTCTTGTTAGCAACCAAAAAGCCTTCATCCTAAAGCAACTGTGGCAGACTGGCCACCACAAGGGCAGTTGCTAAAGCAAGCGAAGGCTTCTTACACTGCAGTCTCACACTCCCCAGACACCTGTCACTTCTCGGGGCCTGTTTTTGTCCCCAACCTACCCACAGAGACACAGCTCTTATGGTTTGTTTTGAGTCACTCTAAAGCTCTATTCCTGAAGCCTGTAATGAAAGGAATTTCCCTGTTAAGCAGAAAACCAAAAAGTGTTTGCTCTAGGCCTCTGGACTGAGCTTAGACTTCCTTTGTTCAAGCTTTCAAATTTGTTCAGCTCTTTGCTTAATCTGGGATTTCATTTAGAAAAGTAGGTCAAATTTCTGATTTCCTGGGTCTTCTGAAATATTTGAACATGGCATCAATGTTTCTTATAGCTGGAGTCCAAAGAAAGGTTAGCCACAAAACCCGCTGCTTTTCCCCAACCCTGGGGAGAGGAACGGAGGGAAAAGAGAGAGAATGACAGCCATCCAGTCTCTACCCCAAACCGAAACAAGCCAGTCCAGGCCTGGCCAGCTTCTGGACAGACACATGTCCTTAATAGCTCTCCCGCAGTGTCATTAAGACAGTCAAAGTAAGGGGTAAAGCTGGGAATCCTCACCCTTAAAACACAGCCTAGGTTAATTTCTCTGGCCCTCACGAGTTCGGTGTGCAGCCACTCAGCTTTCGTGGGTTCAGCTCTCTGCTAGGCCCTTCAGCAGCTCCTTCTGGCCCCACTTGTCTCCCTCAGTCTGTCTGCTGGCCTGCAGGAGCCTGGCCAGCTGTCTGAGTGAGGGAATTTCTCATTTCACAGCTTAGGAGCAGCAGCAAGTGCTAGCCCACCCATCTGTGCAGAGGAGGTGTGTAAAATTAGAACCACCACCTTGGGTATTGGGTAGGCAGGCAGCTGTGCACGCTCTACACCGTCCTTTCCCTGCAGGGGCTGGGGGCGGGTTCGAATCCACCGCTGCTAGCAGCACAACCCGCCCTTGCTCTGTGTGTGCAGCCTGCCCCCACCTACCTGTTCCAGCACCCTCTCTGGGAACTTAGTGTGGGGAAACAGGGAATGGCATATGAAGAGGGTGGGGAGGAAGTCAAATCTTCATTACCTCTGGCCTTAAGAGGCAGACATGAAACGGATGCATGAAAGCTAATCATCTCCTAAGAAGCTTCATTTTAGCCAACAGGGTCAACCTCCCCCTTGCTCAGCCAAGATTCTGGCTGGTCTGAGGTCTACATTCCCTGCTCAAGATCTTGAGGAAGGGTCAACACGGGTGCTTTAGCCAGAAGGCAGAAAGGAAGAGGGAAAAGTCGGGGCCACCACACGGCACTGCTCACGAGTCAGCAGAGACTGCGTCAGGAGCAGGAGCGCCTGACCCCAACCCTAGGTACAGTTCCTGGGGTCTCTTACCGAGGTTCATGGGGTGGTCCACTCTGCTCTATCAGGTTGAACTCACAGGTCTGACTAGCGAACTGAGCATATTCTAACAGCCCGCTGATGGGGTTCTTCAGCTGGCACTCTGTCAGTTTCTTGTAGGGTGAACACCGTGGCAAGCCATGGCTGTAGAAGGAGGGCATCTCCATGATGGCTCGAAACTCACCTGGCGCGGCGCGGATACTATTCAAGTCATCTGGGATGTCATCTGTGGCCCACTGGCCATTTTCAAAGTCAACATACCCTGTTTTGGAGGGGCCATTGTCACGAGCAGGTGGTTTCGGTTTTACTGGTTCAGGTGGGACCTCTTGCCTGCTTTCTAACTTTAAAACTGGCTCCTGCCCATTCTCTACCTTTGCTGCGGTTACACTGTTGGAGGCATCTGGCGCGGGGAAGTTACAGGCGGGGGGCTCTGCGTTTCTTTTGGTCTCAGGGGTAGCAGCTTGAGTGGTTTCAGGAACACTGTTCGTGTTTCTCTTGATCTGCAGCCTCTCTCGCTTCTTGTCCGTCAAATACCATATTGGAGGGGTTGTTCCTTGCCTGTAGACATCCCCCTGCCTTTCCAGGTCGATCAGCACGGCATTGACATCTCGGGCTTTCGAGAGGCCAATATTTTTAGCCAAATTCAGGGCAGAGGACTTGAACACATTAAACAGGTAGTTGCAGATTTCTTCCTTGATCTCAGCCATGTCAAAAGGTTCAGGAGGGTCTTCCAAGCTAGATGTGGAGTTTTTGTCTTCAGTTTCCGAACTGGGGTCTGAGTTTGGAGCTGCCTGGCTACAACTGTCTGGTGTCGCTACTTGGCTGTGCTGGTTCGGAGCCCGAACTGAGATTGCAATTCGCCACAAAGGGGGTGTTCCTGCCTCCTGCTGCAGAGTACCCTTCCTTGCCAGAGAGTATAAAATGCGATTGATTTCCTTCTTTTGGGCTTGGAGCTTCCGGGCCAGATCATGTGCTGTGGTGGCCTTCCCCTCGCCAAGCTCCTGAAAGAGCTCTAAGATCCTTTGTTCCAGATCCTGGCAGATCCTCAGTTCCTGGAAATTTGAGGAAAGCCTATCAACACCTCTCCATGGTAGAATCCTGCCACGTGGGGAAGGACGCCGGGACCCTCTCTGGAGTGCTTGACTTCTGAGATGCACAACCCCAGGGACAGCCCAGATCTCCTGCTGCCTGTCTCTGGCAGGTGGTCCTGGAAACCTTGGCCAGGGTCCAGGGGGAAAAGGTAACAGTGATGGTGTCTGCTTTCCAATTAGGGGTACTTCTGGGAGCCGCCCCTTGAGAAACTCTATTTGCTGAAGCTGGAAAGTATTAGGATAAGATCCTGGCCCCGGCTGCTGGTGTCTGAACTTGCTGTGCTCATAGCCTTGAAATGAACTGGGGTGGTATCTGCTGAGAGAACACCCCTGCAGAACAAGAAGAGGGAAAAGGAAGTGAGAATCAGAACTGCAGTGCTGAGCCCGGCCCTCCTCCCTGCTGGGGGTGCGGGGCAGGGATGGGGGTGGGGTG